CTATAAACAATACCGTGTATTACCACGCGTAGTGCATTTTGAGCCAAAGCAAAAGGCAGAAAAGTTTTGCCAAGTATGTAACTTGTTTGTAACACTATTTCTCATGGTATATATCCTACTCCGTGTTAAATAAGCGCAGAAATTCGAGTGTAACAAGGCAAATATTAATGCAATATTTTATGATCAATTACCTGCATTGTAAATTGCGCCATTTCTTGCTTTCCCAGTCGCTCGACATGTTTTTATCTGATAGTGTAGACTTCTCTTGTTTGATTGCGAAGAGTGTTGGCCAGTATAACGCTCAAAACGACATATTTTTAACTAACATAACACGCACGCAATAGAATTCTCTCTTGTAGTTTTGGTGCTACCCAGCCAATGACGTCACAAAGTTCATTGACCTTCGAGATAATTTTTCAAAAATATTTTCCAAGATGGCGGCGAAACTGGCCGAAACACAAAGTTTGCATGCATTTTACTCGTAGACTAAAATGTTCAAGAAGGAAATGATAACATTTTCATAGTTCGGTTGTCAAGTAGGATTGAAATAGCCAATAAAAATTTTCGTTGCCAATGTCCTTTAATTGGTCCATTCTCCTTGTATTTCTCCTTATATTATACCTCAAATTCAAATTGCCCAATGAAAAAACATTTGTACCACGTGACAATGTGATTTTTTACGGTATTTCACCCAAATTCATGATTTCGCAATGCAGCGTGAGATTTAACAAATATAAAACATTTTCCGTGTTGATATACAGTTATATCAACACGAGTGGAAATTGGGAAAACGAGAAATTGTGTGGAATTTTCGAGTTTTCCCAATTTCCACGAGTGTTGATATAACTATATGTCAATACGGAAAAAATGTTTTATATTTGTTTTATAATATAGCACAAGGAAACATAAAGAAAGAAATTTTCCGACGTTTCCGTGTTGACATTGAGTTATATCAACACGGCTCTTAGCCAATCAGCGTTCAGAATTGACAAATGCTATATTATAAACTATATTATAATATAGCATTTGTAAATTCTGAACGCTGATTGGCTAAGAGCCGTGTTGATATAACTCCATGTCAACACGGGAAATTTTCCGCCGCTTGTTAACACGGAAATTTTTCTTATTCTTCGGGCTTTTGACATTGCTATATTATAAAACAAATATAAAACATTTTTCCGTATTGATATATAGTTATATCAGCACTCGTGGAAGTTGGGAAAACTCGAAATTGTGTGAAAACACTCCGCCCTTCGGGCGTCGTGTTTCCACACAATTTCTCGTTTTCCCAATTTCCACTCGTGTTGATATAACTGTATATCAACACGGAAAATGTTTTATATTTGTTAAATATCCCACGGTAAATCCAACGTGGGATATTATAGTATCTCACGCTCACGCGTGGACACCACGCTCTGAAACAATATGGCGTTCGCGAGCTGTTGTTTGTAATTTCGTACAGAAGATTTATTGATTTAAGTTAACCAAAGATTTTCAAGATGTATGTTACCTTCAAGGCTTCAATGATCCAAAGGATACATGCTCAAATATTTTAAAGAGAAAACGTCAAAAATTCAGGTATACATAAGAAATTAAAAATTGTATAATTCGCTTCAAGTTTTAAAGTTTATTCTGAACTTGGTACCCACCACATTGCTCGGTTTCCTCTGTTCTTATCAGGGAATATATTCAATATTCCCCTCTAATCAATTTCCGTCTAATAATCCCCTCTAATATTCACCTGTAATGTCTTTGCTGACTTTGCAGCACAAAAAATGAGAAAAAACAACATCACGAAGGCAATATGGCATTAAGAATTTTTTCTATTCTGACTCATTAACGCGACTTCGCAATGTAAAAAATAAGTACGTTATTTTGAGGCACCTCGGGGATATTTATCACTTATTTACTGAGACCGAGGGAAACAGTGTGTTTTGTGGACCCGAGACCGTCGATGTTTCCCGAGGCGAAGCCGAGGGAAACATCGACGGTCGAGGGTCCACAAAACCATAGATAATAGAAGAGAAGGATAGGGAACTCATTGTTCTATGTTTTTGTTCACGTTATTCATTTATTCAAGTCATTCACGGCATTGTATTTTCTGTATAATGAGGCATTCATCCAATAGAAACGACTGGGTTGAATTAATCAGTCGCTTTACCGTCACGTGGTGGGTCGCTTTATCGTGACGTGTCCATAGAATTTACTTCCATATAGGGCATGTCATTGTCTTTCAACATGAAGTTAATTTTTGCTGTGAGACAATGGAGTTGCCTATCCTTCTCTTCTATTATCTATGACAAAACACACTGTTTCCCGAGGTCTCAGTAAATAAGTGTTTTTATTATATATCAATAGTCAAAGAAACAACAAATTAAAGAACAAATAAACGTAAATACATTATATTAAAACGTTATATTAAACACTGGCTACATGCACTGCAGTTACTTAAATCGAAAGTTTTAATTACGTACTAGGCATGTCCAAAGGTCGCATCTTCACGTGATGGCGCACGTGATTTTTTTTGTTATTCGCCGGTCGATAACGTATTATCTCCCTCTCGCGCTGTTGCGAGGGAGACAGCCTAATTTCGTTACTCTCACGTGATATGCTCTCAACCAATAAAACACTAGAAAAATGCGACTTTGACTATTGATATATAATAAATGTGTTTATTCACCTCGGCGCTGCACGCCTCGGTGAATAAATCACATACCCCCTCGTTGCCTCAAAATAGCCTATACATATATCATTTATAGACCCGGAGCGAGAGGGATTCGTCGAAATATTACCCTCAGTGATGATATTTCCCTCAGAGCAAAGCCCCTCGGGGAATATCATCACTTCGGGTAATATTCCGCCGAATCCCTCTCGCTCCGGGTCTATAAATGACAATTATTTTTTCAGGTAATTATATCCCCATCAATCCGCAGCTTTTTTATTCTGAATTTCATACACTACAGGGTGTCTCAAAAAAACCCAAAATCATTGAAATTGACGTATTGTTCGATATTCAATGCCCTAGCACTAAGTTAACCCACGAGTGCATAAAAGATTGACATAACTGCTATAATGAATGGTAATACTCAGCGTAAACTTGTTATGTCAGGCATAAAGTACTAAACCCACGAATGCATATTACGCATATTACAATTTACGAAGCATTTTTAAATTCCCATGAGCAAACAAACGTTCACTTTACAAAGATATTTTAATTTTTTAAAACAAATTAATCACCCTGTCAAAATCCTTTGTGTTACGGCATTGAAATTCGAACAATACGTTATTTCAATGATTTTGGTTTTTTTTGAGACACCCTGTATAAAAAATATTAAAAAGAGAAATCCTGCATTTACTTACAAAAGATAGAAGAACAAACATTAAACCAATTCCATTAGGGATGGCAATTATCAACAAACCAAAACGAGCTAAGTGAACACCAATGGAGAGAGATAATACAGCTACAACGTTCAGTGTTCGATGCCATAAAGAACGCATTTTAATCATTGTAACAAGAGTAAACCAAACAGAAAGGACTGAAGCATAAAAGTCGCTCAATTGCAGGGTATTGTAGTCGTAAATGCAATAACCATGGCTGTCACATGCGTGGTACACCTGGAATGATAAAACATTCTGATTATTCAACATTATTTTCAACTGAAACAGGGTCCTAATACGCAGGCTATGACAGCGTTAGTTTTCTATATACATGAACAACTTCACGCGGTTTAAAAATGTTGGACAGACTTAAAACAACTATAACTCTCTGTAATATTTATTTTGAGTCAATTTCAATATTGGCAACCACAATTAATTTCGTAACTTATATACTACGTTTTTCACTCTAACCCAACCACAACTCTAATCCAAACCCTAACCTAAATCCTAACCTAAATCCTAACTTTGATCCATACCGCAACCCCAATCTTAATCTAATACCAACGCAAAATTATGTACCACAGTAATTGTGTCGTCACTTCGGGAAATGTGGAAGGTCGCCAAATGCAGTAAGTATATTCCTGGGCGGCGAACAGTAGGTGTGGCTGCGCTGTTCATATTGTACCTATCAGAGGACAGGTAGCTATAGTACGAATAACATACGAATACTTATAAGCTAGTGAGTACATGTGTTTATAGGGACCTGCCTACTCCGCAGGTCTTATTTTTGGCACATATCAGTGGCACATATAGATCAGTAGTTTCGACTTCTGTGGTGTATGATGTTTCTCCACGCGCTTGCAATAAACTCAACGATGCTACTCCCCTCTGAATTAACATAAATCGACTCAAAATTTATCTCAAACTTGGGGTCCAGTATACAGTAGATATTAGAGAGCTTAAGATCCACGACGCGGCCGGCTCAACGACGCAGTCTGAATTTCAGCTCAAGAATGAGCGCTAAGCAATTTTATTACTGTAATAAATGTCTGAAGATTTTTCGAATTTTTAGTTTTACGTTGTGTTGAGAGTAACAAAGCCGTTGAGAATACTCCTGGGACCACAAATTATCCACAGTTTTTGTCTTGCATGACAAATTTCTTTCTTTCGCAAGCGCGTCGTTGAGCCGGCCGCGTCCTAGATCTTAAGTTCGCTACTATTCCACAACAAGCTGCTGTGCTTTGGTTCTGAACGACCTGAAAAAATGGAAAATACTTCGACGTTTCAAGCGAAGACCACGCTGTCAGCCCGTCCCCGGTGCGGGTGAAACACGCGAGAAACACGCGTGGGCGGGAAAGGGGGGAAATGGGGGGAGGGGTGCTTTTAGAGCTGCGCGTCGCAAATCACACGCACGTACTGGAGCCTGGGGACGAAGCTGCCCCGCTGTAACTATACCTACTGACGGCTGGCGAAGTCAAATTACTTTTTAATAGTCTTCCTCAGGTATTTCTAACCCATATATCATGCAAATCGTATTTGATGATTCAATCAAGTCTTACCGTTGAACAGTACATATTAAAGAGATACACAACCGCTTCTGGATAAAATCTTCTGGAACAAGCCACGATAATTCCAGGGATAAAAGCAATGTTACTTATTGTAAGTAAACACACAGCGAGTATATCCAGGCTATGGTGATCAGAGCACGTAAATCCACTGTATCCATAATCACACTCGCATAACCCATAAGATACTCCAATATCACTCTTTATCACACATGATCCATGTTTGTTACAGTCATTAAGGCATGTTTGGGTTTTAGCATGAAAAATAAAGTTTGAACTTGAAAATGGATCATGAGGTTCGATAGTGACAACTATATACCATGTTCCTGATTGTGGATAGAGGACCGCCATACGTAAAACACCATCACTCTTCTCACTGCAATGTTTCTTGGAAAATTCATCAGATTCCACGAAATCATATGGTAATAAATCTCTGGTGATACACATCTTATATGTCGCCCTGGTCTTATCGTGGAATGGCCAAAGTAAAAATGTTAAAGTTGTTCCGACGTAGTCAGGATCTAATTTCAAACTAAACATATTTGTGCTGTTGAATAGATAATACTGCCAGCTATTTTCAAGAATTTTACGATCCAGTGCAAACATGGGTGTAATCTCTGTACATCCAGGAGTGTTTAGAAGGCATTCTAGAAAAAATATTGAACACGTACATATCAGATGTAATATTTCAAATCCAAATATGGGGACTGCACGGGATTTCAACTTCGAGTAGTCTGTTCCAGGACGAGGAAAGCCGAGGAGTGCAACTAACTTTGATGATTGAAATCCCGTCCGGTCCGAATTTGAGGATTTGAAATAACATCTTGTACTCATAATTTCACCCAATCCTTGGACTGAATTAATTATATATCCAGGTATCCAATATTATCATGTGAGCAAAGTAAAGCAATATGATAAAGAATAAATAATGATCTCATTTTGTAATGTAAAATTCTAAAACAAACACTAGTTAAATCTGTACATGGAGCTGTCGAATTTTCTAGGAGGTGATTACATGGAGGGCATTTAGCTCGGTTAAGTAGAACCATTCCGATAAAGCTTTGAAAGGCTGAATTTCAGCCCGTTCGGAAATTCGGTTCCGTGGGTAGCTCAATTTTTTGTCATGTAATCGCAGCTTCTATTTTAATAGAACGGGCTGAATGAAAAACAGCCATTCTATTTCCATGTCATTTTATTTCATGAGTAAAAGGTTTTATTACTTAGACTTCTGTTTATGTCAGAGTTAGGGTCAATAGGGGGAACTCGTACACTCAGTTGGCAAGAGCGTTGATCAAGCAAACCAGCTTGCCCGGTGACAGTGTGGAGCCAGTGCTAGTGGCGTCATCTAATATAATTCGATGATGTATACGAGTATATTTATGTGAACAAACAACAAGATGGAATGTATTTGTTAACTGCAGACTGACCTGTATGATTAGCTGTTATTTCGTACGATTGACTTGTTCCACTGACCTCAATATAATAGTATGACTGTGATTGAGGCCAGCTAACATTCCGCTCACATGGAGCCATGCAGCTCAGTGAGGAGTGTGTAGGTAATGACGAAGCAGACAAAGACAATTTTAATGAACAGTTATGTTGTGCAGAACAGAAATTCTTTAATTTGATACGCAATTCCTTAGAGTAACTAGAGATGAAGTATTTGTAGTACGTTGTGGTGGAAACACTAAAAAGAGAGAAACAATTAATAAAGCAGTCAGGCGACTGAAGAAGCTTTCCCACGGGACCACGAAGGTTTTGCACACATACTGTAACTACACATCTTCATTTTAGGGACGGGCAATTAGAAAAGTGAAGGGGGGAGGAAGTTTCTGCCATGCATGGATTTTTTACCGTTCGCTTGGTGTACAGTACATGTTTTTTTTTCGTGTTGTGATATATTTTTTCTGCCACCTTCTGGCTGACATGCATTTTTATCCTAATGGGCCGTTTCTTACAAGCTTGAGTTATTCTGTTATACAGAGGGAAGAACCTACGTACATGGTTGCTTGTAGTTAGAAACTAGCTTGTAGCAAATGAATTTTGTAATTCGAATCAACACTTAGGCCAGCAAGCATTTGTAAGTTTTAATTGCTTGAACTTTCGTTCAGTATTTTCAAGTTTTCTGTATGAAGTAGAAACGAGGTTAGCTAAGTTAGGGCCTATACCTAGTATACGAGGTTTTTATAAGTAAAAATAGTTCACCTGAGGTTTGCATTAGTGTTCCAAGGTTGACCCTTTGCAAGAACCACTGGAGGTTTCAATGGAGATCTCAACACTTGTACAATACTCAGTGCACTGAGACATTTCTCATCGGCTTTTGATAAACCCTGATTGTAAAATATAAACAAAATATTCAGTTTTATGGAAAAAATATTGAACCTGGGGTTCTGCCTCGGCTGCGGTATAGACCAAAGAAACCTTTGTTACTACTCATGCTCAACCTGAAAAATAAGGGGAGATTTGTTCAGTTTTCCCGGTGTGGAGACATCCAGAGTAACATCAGCAAAAAAACTGAACACCTATGTTAAACACCACAACTACACCAGACGTATATAAACAACAGAGATTGTTGATACTCGTTAGTTTGAAAATAATGGGAGGTTCATACAACGGGTTTGATACAACTATGGCCAATGGTGGATTTTATATGATACACACTCTTTTATTATATATAAGCTAATCAGGCTCCAAACAATATAAAGTGGCACAATCACGTCACCAAACGGGAATCTATCTTTGAAGACTACAGTCGACGTTTGAAGGAATATTCATACACCGTTTTGAATACTGGTTTGATTACTCGTCGACTATGGTCTTCAAAGTGATCCATGGGTTCAGAGGTTTTCTGGTGTCAGGTGAGTTTTAAATCATGCGGTAACCTGCGTGGCAGGCGGTTTTTAAGGAGACGAGGTATTTCCTTCGCCTCCCTAAAAACTGCCTGCCACGCAGGCTACTCATGCGGCTGAACCTGACAAGCACCGCTGAGTGCAGACTACAGCTTCAGCGAAACAACATATACACGCAATTTCAGATAGCCAAAGACTACCTAAAAGACAGTGTTAGTTCACTTAGTTGCCGTTAGAAAGCGTATAACTATAGAATCTTGTACAGTAGATCCTAACAGTTTCCTGGCAAAATCAAGAACAATCCTAACAATACATTCAATCTTTCAAGAATTCTTTCAAGATCCTAACAGAATCTGTTTGCATTCTCATGTTTCGCACACAATTATATTTCTCTTTGATAAATAATAAATAATGAGCGGTCCCTAACCAGTACCTTTTCTTTGATTTTCTTCACCTTCTCTACATAGGGAAGAAATACTGTGACATACCACTTGCCAGGCAATGGTGATGAAATATTCTCGTCTTGAACATGACGTAGACTTACTGTGGTCTCATAATGATCTGTATTATTGTAAAGCCAACCATCTGTGTGAATTTCATCTCTGTAAGGTATTGCTGGACTGCCATGTTGAAAGAGTCTGTTACAATGTTTAGAAAACAGATTAAGAATCATTTCAATCTATTCCTTATGGCTTTGTGAATATAATGCAATTTTTAGGGGTGGATTACATGAAGACTTTTCAGCGCGGACTGAATTTTAACCCGGCTAGCCAAGTTGAAATTGTCTTACAAGTGCATAGCGAGTAGCGAGTTTCAGCCCAGGCCGAGTTTAAAATTTCAGCTTAAACCGGAATGAAATCTCAGACCAGAACTGAAACGATATACAACAGTATATTAGTCTCGAAATAGAGCTATTTTCATTGCTTCTTTCAACAATTTAAAATGTTGATTATGTCTTCTTTTTGACGCGTAGGAGACTGTGGTTGCATTTAGAAATGGAACACACAACAAAAACGTCATTTAAACAGGTTTAATCAATTGTTTTTTCAACGCAGACTTTCCACGACTGAAACTGACAATTCCAGGATTTCCAAGTTTTCTATGACATACGAACCCTGTATATCATATAACGTGAATTTTTAATTCCACCGCAGTTATTCTCACTGAAACGTTCAACTTGGGTTGAAAATTTGGCTCGGCAAAACCAATGCGCTACAGTATTGCGTTTATTCAGACGTAATAGTGAGCTCAAACAAACGACGTTTTTGTCACCACCGACGTCACCCGAAAATCGGTAGAACTAATTTTGGCGGCATTTTGCAGAATAGCGCTCGTGTAAGGAAGTAAAAAACTTTAAAAATCTTATGTTTTGTCAGATGTGTTGAAGATTACCACAAACTGATACAAACACAGTTTTTAATCCAGTCCCCCCTCGACAATCTGACGTCCGTGGTGACAATGACGTTGCTTGCACGACAAAAGTTGACAATGACGTTGCTTGCACGTCAAAGACGACGTGAAAATGGCGTGTTGTGCCCATGTATGGATATGCCACGCCATTTTCACGTCGTCTTTGACTTTGACGTCCGCGTCACAGAGCTGGTAGAGACATACAGAGACGTAACTAGTGTACCCACTTTTTTTGTGCGCATGCTCGGCAAGTTACTAGATGCATGCATCTGATTGGATGACGACCTGATGACGACTCACTTTAAACTTGCTGAGCACGCGCAGTTGATCATTTTTCGCCCGATCGCCTGCCTGAAAAAAAGTGGGTACATGATAACGTAATCTTCCGCAGTGTTTACAACGGTCAGTTACGTCTCCGTATGTCTTATCTACTCTGTGTCCGCGTCCTCGATCTAAATCTGTCTAATATTAAACATCTACTGTACCACGCAATTTAAATTTCACTGCAGTTACTGTTGCGTGAATAACAAACGCGTTTTTAAAGCATTAAATATACATTATGTCTAAAATTATGAATATATTTTGCATACAGTTTGTGTTGATTTTTACATGACTATAGTACATACATATACTGTACATACTTACATAAAAAATTATTTAAACACGTTAGCCTTAACATCTTTCGATGATTTCCATAGGGGACTTGCAAGATTAAGACTAATACATATACAAAATACAAACTATTTACATAATTATTCTTTAGACAATTAGCAAACATAAATAACAACAAACATACATACAAAACTATTTACATACTTGTTTTCGAAAATGTAGCTTCATTAGTCTTTTGAAACAACTCATAGAATTGGATTGTTTTGCAGTAATTGATAAGTTATTCCAAAGAGTAAAGAGTTGCTCCACTATAACTGAAGGTCTTTTTCTTAAATTGTGATTTTGGGAATGGAAGTACCAGATCTGTTTGAGAATTTCTTAATTGGTGTATAACTGGACAATAACTTATTTTCAAAAAAAATTCTTTCAGGTTTGGAACTTTGGAGCATAGTGGTGCAAACTGCAAACTTCGAGAATCATTATTTTTGGGACATGCAAAGCCTTAATATTTCATACATGCAAAGCGAAGTAATACAACACAGACTCTTATTTCACCGCGGTGTACGCTTGTGTACCTATTTTTTCCTTATTAGTCTCAGTTAAAATGTAAAATTTTGACTCATGCTAGGGTTCCCAATATAAGCCTACAGACTGGCCACACAGCAATTTTTGCCGTCTATAGCGCTGACAATCGGCGGTTATTTACCCTGTATCTAGCTGATTATACTGTAAACCAAATATTGCCTCCTTGCCAAAGAAATGTCAAGGGAAGGTTTTCTACTTGGCTAAATATTCGGATATCAAAAACTAAAAAAAAATACTCTCGAAAAAAAATGGAAATGGAATTTGGAAATGTCATTTCAGATTTAAATCTTCACGAGGAGACGCCCTCGAACTCCCCTCGAGGAGGTATCTTCAGCACCATATAAGCGCCCATACTTCTTTCAAAAAGCCTCCTACTCCAAATTGTACTGGGAACCCTGCATGCAGACTATGCATCTTTTTTCAATGTATAAAAATAAACATCAAATATAATACAGATTTTGTACTTACACAATAATACTGTTGTTGCATGGTTTATGAGAATGTAAATACATTCCCTGATAATGAAATGACAATATCATTTCACTTGTGTATACTGGGACATCCAAGGCATAAATTTTGGCATCTTGAAATGATTGATATTCTTTCAGACTGTAATAAGGATGCCACCATATCATCCTACTGGAAGAAAATTGCTGTGGTACTTTATAGACAGACCCTGAAATAGAAAATCAGTACAGTTTTGCATTTGTGGTATATCAATTATATAGCATAAACCTCTGAATATACCCCACACACACGTATAAGCCATAAAGCCAACAATATTCTCTAACACACAGATTTGTATTTGATCATGATAATAGTTTCGACGACTCTTAATAACATTTTTCAGATTCTGCCATTCTGGTTCAGATGAGTCGAAACAGCAATGCAGTGACAGTAAATGACTAGAGGTACAGGTAACAGGTAAATATATCAGGCACTTTGGTGTAGTATGCCATCATGTAACCCACGCCTGGAAAGTTCAGCTGATATCCCGCGAATTGGAGAGAGTTTCTAATAAATCGGAGAGTCATAACATAACTATATACAATAACATGACATGACATATGACATAACAAGTTCTGAAAACTTATTCTAAGCTATGGGCCAGACTGGGCTTTTTTGGGTCTTCTGGGACTGGTAGGGGTAGGGGGAGGGGGGGGGGGTGGAAGTGCCCACGCATATCTCTTGAACCATGTGGTGCAATGAAACTTTTACAGGTGGATGGTATCATGTTATCACTTATGTTATTATGGCAACAGATTATGATGTTATTAATTGCAAAAACGTATTTTTAGAATTTCCAAAATTCTTTTTCTTATTGTAATTTTTACTGAGCCGTTTTGTTAAGATAAAAAAGGTAGCATATCAAAAAAATGCATGCCTATGCGTTGAGTTGTTATTCTGTGGTTGAGTCATACCATATTCTGTTTTCTGATTGGCTTAAATTAAACGAATCCTGATATTTCTAATAAAATGCATATATTTGTAATGTGTGTTCAGTGAGGCTGGGAACATTTCCACTGAATAATGCAGCAGACTAGCTCTGCATAAAGCTGAGAATATCCTGTTTTTACATCATAATCTGCCAAAACTAAACTTTGACTGTTGACATGCAAGATTGAAGCTGATTTAGTGTGTACTGTAAACAATATAACTGTATTTACAACTTCATTGTTAGTCATCTTGTATTTTTTTTCTTGCTTTTTAAAATAATCAGCAGGTACCGATTAATCGGCCGATTAGTTATGATAATCGACTTATAAATAATCGGCCTCAGTAATCAGCAATTTTCCTTATCGGCTCATCCCTAATTTAGTATTTACAGCGACATTACCTTGTACAAAAAGGGCACTTTTCATCCTTTGAAAAAATTGGGGGGGGGGGGCACGTGCCCCCTGTGCCCCCCTCCGGTTCCTACACCCCTGGACCTGCATCATATTTATTTTTGTCCTGGTATAGTCCAATTCAAAAATTAAAGCTGTCTTTATAGTTGGGCGAATAAAATGGGATTTATTAATAAAGAACGAGGTAGTTCTCTGCAGTGCTAATTTATTGTGGGCCATACACATCAGTTTTGAATCCTATTTATTACTAAGACTTCAAAAAACTGTCATGTCTGGTCATGATCTGAGTAGAAAATAGAAATTCTATACAGCACTTTCCCCAATTGATTAGCCAGACAATAACTATGAAGATTTTTAGTCCAACTGCTGACTGCATTACCACAATTTCTTGACTTTGAGCTTACAGATGGCGCTTGAGCGGCTGCTATTAGTCCATACATCATTAATGTTCTGCCTCCAGACCTATGTGCCTACCCCACCCTGTCAACTTTCCCTGTGGGAGGAAACACAGACTACCCAGAGAAAACCCACGACTTTCGGCAGAGCGTTGACTTTTTACTCTTTTCACATGAGGACTGGGTTTGAGTCACATTGACCACTTCGCCACTGAAGTCCCATACATGGGGAAATATCAAGGTTTAGGGGTATCTGACATCTGAACCTATGATCTGAACGTAGATCGGTAGATGGATTATTAATATCCCATGATTCCATCTAAAATACATAAAAATGAAAGCATACCTCCACTACTGTCCAAAGAAGCATTTGAAAGCCTGGTTAAAATCGTCAGCGAAATCCACAGTAAAATAAATGCCATAATATATCACTGTATTATAAGATATTTCCCAAAAATATGTACTGACGTCGCAGTCACGAAATGTTGAAACATGTCCAATTTAATATGGTTGACAAATTTCAGGTTATTTTATAATAAAAGTAAAGCATATTAAACGATATTCGTAACGACTAGCTGACATCATAACCATAATATAGCATACTGAAAGTGATATCTGTATCTACTCTGTGGTGATATGCTTTACATTTATCCTGATTTATGCGCGAATCAAATCGAAACCTTGACATTCCCCCCCCCCGGGCATACCTGGGGAATTTGCTTGTTTAGTATTTTAAGAAGGCGGGAATTTGACCTTTTTTTCTAGTGGAAGGTGGGAAATTTGAAGGGGGTCGGGAATTTGAATTTTTCTTTTAATTAAACACGTGTGCAGAATCCAAAATGGCGTCAATAATTAATGGATGAGTTCAAGGTCTTCAAGTGCAAAGGAATTAACTTTGTCCTTGGTTGGCTACAAGAAAACGACTTTGAACGATTGAAGAGAGTTTTAGAAGGAAAGAAAAACTTTGAAATTCCAAAATTGCGAAATGCTGTAGCTTCCAATTCGTACATGGGGTGGGGTATTTGAACTCCAATTTTTCCCAATACGTGGTGTATTTGAACGGGAATTACAAATATACGTAGGGAATTTGACCTGACCAAAACGTCAAAATCCAAATTCCCGGGGGTATGCCCGGGGGGGGATGTCAAGGTTTCGATTTGATTCGCGCATTATCAGAAGACAAAATGACTTGTGAGGCTGCGACACAAAATAGAAATAGGCTGCGAGCAGAGCTTCCACTCGGAAGAAAATTTCCTTCCAAAAGGATATTTTGGCATTTGGAAAAAATTTGGAAGGAAAAATAAGAAGGAAAAAGAAAATTTTACAATTTAAACTTTTTCAGTAATTTCTAGTAATTTAATAATGGATAAACACTTTATTATGAACTTTTGAGTTAAAAAACATGTATAAAAATAATACTTTGGATATTTACATAACTATCAAGGATGAATGGGGGTAATTTGGTACTTTAAACAGGTCTTCAGTGCAGCCAGTGGTGCCTATTAAAATTAATACTTTGAATTTGTACAGTTGTACTCGAGTAAAAGTAGAAGTATTAACAATAAAACGACTTGAGTAAGAGTAAAAAGTACTGGAGGCAAAACGTACTTAATTAATTAAATATCCTTAAAAAATACTTGAAGGTCTTGAAGTACAACGTAAAAGTGAAAGTACTATTGTTTATAGCGTGTAGGGAGGCGAGGGGACTTTACTTCTCCAATGGATTGACATACAAAAGTCACAAAACAACACATGCATTTATATATGCGTGCTACTTTCCAAACCCCGTTGAAGATATAAGAAATCCATATTAAATAGGCTAATAATGCTTATAAGTAAGCCACAAACGAGAGATCCCAGACACATGTAGAGGTCCTATTACCTATCCCAAAATTAAAATGAATCAGCCATATAATAAATCACGTAAAATTAAACAAATGAGAGAAAGTAACGAAATACTGGGTGAGTATTTGGGCGAGTACAGACTGGTACAGACCACAGACTTGTACATTTAATAACGCGGGCTCAATCAGTTTTCGCGGGTTTTTATAAACCAAAAAAAAACAGTCGAGAAAAGGGAAACTGTAATTTCTAAACCAAAAAAAATAATTATAAATTATGATGGCTCATATTGAGTCGACATCTGAGTCAAGCTCATCAGAAGATGAGGCGTCAAGTAGTTTTCAAATGCAAATGGGTAGAAACTGTGCAGGACAAGTGCCTGGTCCAAAAGCAAATTCATAAAAAAGTCGTTTAACTGTTTAAGTAATGGACGTTTTTATACTAGAGACGCATTATGCGTCTGGACGCATAATCCGTCTTCTACATTATTCGTCTAGTATAAAGACGGGACGAATAATACTAGACGAATAATGTAGAAGACGGATTATGCGTGTCTAGTATAAAAACAGCCAATATGTCGTTCGAGAAAACGGACAAAAAACGAAACAACAGAACATGCTTTTTCAGGTTATCGTTATTCAAATTAATTTTGAACGGTACGTATATACTACTTTACTCTACTCTGTAGTGACCTGGAACACTAATGTTGGATACCTGGATTTTATACCGTACAATGCCAATGGTTACATGTACTATTACTACTATAGAGGGGCTGTAAACTTGTAATCCTAAAGCTTCAAGATGATGTCCAGTGTCCCGCTCCTGTGCACATGCGCGAACTTTGTTTACGTTTTGAACTGCTATATTTGTAAAATATGATATACTAACTGAATATCTAACACTTTTCTGGTTCGCTGTACGTTTTGAATATAAACTGTACGTTTCAATTCAAAAAAGTTCGAAAGATGCAAAGTTTGGGCAATGTTTATATCTGGGGTCCCCCTTTGTTGTGAACAACAACAACAACAACCAACATCAACAACAACAACAACAACAACAACAACAACAACAACAACAACAACAACAACAACAACAACAACAACAACAACAACAGCAACAACAACAACAACAACAACCAACATCAACAACAACAACAACAACAACAACAACAACAACAACCAGCA